AACTACAAACCTACCTTGATAGCCCTTACAAAAACATATTAAAGGAAACTAAATGATCTTACAGAGAACTACAAACCTACCTTGATAGTTCTTACAAAAACATATTAAAGGAAACTAAATGATCTTACAGAGAACTACAAACCTACCTTGATAGTTCTTACAAAAACATATTAAAGGAAACTAAATGATCTTACAGAGAACTACAAACCTACCTTGATAGTTCTTACAAAAACATATTAAAGGAAACTAAATGATCTTACAGAGAACTACAAACCTACCTTGATAGTTCTTACATACACAACCCCCTCCCTTTCTATTGAACTGGAAGATTTATTCAAGTATAACACGGGAATGTCGAAACAAGCTCACATACTCGTAGTTTTCCATCAAGGTATAACGAATAAAATTATGTTTTCAAAATTAGCTACTTATATACCTAAGTAATTAACGACTTCTAATGTCTCCATAAGGTGTTTTCCAAAATCGAAAGTTTATTTTTTAAATATTTTCGTATTTGTTATAATAAAGTGTAAGGAATTTATTTAATTACCAATCTTTATATCCAATAATTTTCAGTTTATTTATGAATAATAAAACATTATCCATAAAAGAATTACTATTTTTACAGACTATCAAAATCCTTTTTTAACTGAGATATAATAATACCTTTTAACATTATATGCGGAATAAAACTATGGGGGGGGGGGGGTAGACTGGGGATGGGAAAATTAACTTCCCTTCTTTTATCAGAAATAGTCAACCATTCTCTGCCTTCTACAAAATTAATGTATAAATCTAAATAATTAGCATGAACATCATTACCAATGCTATTTTCTAATTCGAGCTTTTCGTGATATATTAAGTTAGTAGTGAAAGATCAGATACAGGTTGGCCATATTTAAAGAGACATTCACCCCATTGGAATACCCACCGTTTGTTTATATACTTGTTCGTTGAAAATAATATAATTGTTATAAACACAAAAATGAATTATATTTTTACGCTGAACTTTAGTAAATTTGAATTTTGGATTATTTATTTCTATATTTACAAAATTATCAAACATGTCATTGAATACACTGATTAAATCCATTTTATTATACAGTGTGGTGAAACCATACGTAGAAACAAAGTTGGTTGTTTTTGAATAATTTAAATTATTCAAACATTCTAAAACTGGAATGTATATGCAGATGCGAACCGCAGCAAAATGGATGACAAGTTTAGCGCCTACATGACGTCTAGAAATCACGCATGATACAAAATAAATGAGATGAATCACAAAATAAGACAATGATAACCCGAACAGAAGGTTTGCCCTCGGGTATCACAAAATAAGACAATGATAACCCGAACAGAAGGTTTGCCCTCGGGTATCATAAAATAAGACAATGATAACCCGAACAGAAGGTTTGCTCTCTAGTATTATAAAATAAGACAATGATAACCCGAACAGAAGGTTTGCTCTCGGGTATCACAAAATAAGATACTTATAACCCGAACAGGAGGTTTGCTCTTGGGTTATGGAGTTTCTTGTTTCGTATTTAGCGCCTGAATATATTTTGTTCAAGGCAGAAGCGAGAAAAATCGCACAGTAGAATATTTACGATTGTAAATGGTTCTGTTAAGTGGACATTACGGTTACGAAGAGACCTCTACGACCCAGCAGGACATTGCAGTGAATCTAGGCATTTTTCTTAATACCATTGTAAACTTGATAAACAAGCTTCTAGCCACACCTCGAAATCAACGGCTATTTTAATGGTTAAGATGGCCAAAGAAACTAGAAATACAACAATACTATTCAGTTACAATATCGCTCCAAAGAACATTTGTTAGTTTGAATTGTTTAAGTTGAAACCGTTTTCCGCAGAAGTTTGTTACAATAAAAATTGTAGTGTTTGGATAGTGTGTAATCATGGCCATCAGTCTGAGTATGGTCAACAATGAAGGAGGTGGTCCCAAGAGTGGCCCTAAAACCTGAAGAATTTTCTGTTTGTTTTGAATTTCGCGCAAACCTGCACCAGGGCTATTTGCGCTAGCCATCCCTAATTTAGCAGTGAAAGACAACAGGGAAGGCAGCTAGTCCTTACCACCCACCGCCAACTCTTGAGCTATTCCTTTACCAAAGAATAATGGGATTGACCGCACATTATAACGCCATCATGGCTGAAAGGGCGAGCATATTTGGTGGGACGGGGATTCGAACCCGCTACCCTCAGATTGCGAGTCGAGTGCCTTAACAACTGGCCATGTTGGGCCAAAAACGTGAAGAAATTTATTTTCTAGGTAAGAAGAAAAAACAAATTAGAAAAAGTTTATAAAACTAAAGAATAAACCAGTACATTCGGTACTGTTTAATATTCTGAAGAGTATTAATGTTTCAGAAATAAGTTGTTTAAGAAAACTTTTCAGCCTGCCATTCCGTATGTAATCATTCATTAAAATTAAAAATGCTGTATAAATAAAAATCTATTCAATCAATTTACCCAAATAAAATATACAATTAAACACAAAACAAGAACACTAGACGTAATTTTATCTATAGAATGAAAATAGTATATACATATATATTTAGCGAATGACCAAGCGCGGCCTAGTGATTAGCGTGCTGGACTGTGAATCCGATAGTCTACGGTTCAGATCCTGTTGCCGTAAAATCGCGGTCCGCACTTTGAGGCTGTGGGTATTTTATAAAAGTGACGGTCAAATTCCACTAGTCAGAATTTTCGCGCAAAGCTACACAAATGGCTTTCCGCTCATAGCCGTCCTTAATGTTGAACTGGTACACTAGAGTGAAGGCGGCTAATCAAAAGCGCCCACCGCTAACTCTTGAGCTACTCTTATCTAACGAATAGAGGGATTTGACCATAATTCTTACAGCACATCTACGGCTCTAAAGTGCGGAGCGTGTTTTGTGAGAAACGGACCATGAACCAATAAACTCTTGGATTCAAAATTCGAGCATGTTTGCCGGTGAGCCACGCCCAGTCCAACGTGTGTGTTTTTTTTTAAGAACATTATTAGTTACCTTCACGTCAAACGCAGAGAATACACTAAAGATGGGGTTCATCATCCCTGGCTGTCCAACCATAGCAGAACTACTCTCCAATGAAATTGGGAAAGAAAACTGAACTACTTGGAATCGTTCCCAGTTGACTCCAAATGGTCCAAGTCCAAGATCGGCTTCCTAATGACACACAAGATTACTTACATTTCATATTGATACCTAAAGCCACTTATTGCTTAAACTTTTTTAAATAACAATTTCCTAGATATAAAGACTGTATTTATATTGTATTTTATTTATAAAGACTGTATTTATATTGTATTTTATTTATAAAGACTGTATTTATATTGTATTTTATTTATAAAGACTGTATTTATATTGTATTTTATTTTTTCAAAGTTCCCAAGGATGTCTTCTGCCGATCCTCATTTTGAACTACTAACCAGAAGAAAGGTAGCCAATCAGCAAAATTCTACCACCCACCATCTAAGCTAAGAAATTGACTGTCATTCTTATAACTCACTCACTAGAACTTCGAGAAAGACGGGTGAAACACGTGATATACTAAGTTTCCTCTTTTCAAAACAATTTCTACTATTTTAAATTGATTTTATACTAATGCTTATTACTTAATTTCTTTTTGATCTTCACAGACTAGTTCAATTTTGATAAAATTGAAGTTAAGTGGTCTAAACCCTTGTGTAGTAGTTCGTTAAGGATTAAGATCCTCTAGCGGAGAAACTACCTAACTGAAGAAAATGGGGTTGAAAATTAGGTGTTAAATTAGCCCCCAGTGGCTCAGCGGTATGTCTGCGGACTTACAACGCTAGAATCTGGGTTTCGATACCCGTGGTGAATAACGCACAGATAGACCTTTGTGTAACTTTGTGCTTAATAATATACATAAACTGTTTAATTATTTATAGACTTGTTTCACAGTTTATGGTAAGAAAATCATAAATGCTACATTTGCAAAAAAATAAAAACGCCCATTGAAACAAAACGTTATTTGTTATAACTTCATACACATTTGATATGTAAGTGAGATTGAAAAACACGCAACTTAAAATACCTTTAAATACATATATGCAAATAAAGAAAAAGGAAGTAAATGTAGGGATGGCTAATGTCAATCTTTCAAAAACAATGCAAATAAAATAGGGGGATGGCATTTGGATCATCCTTACATAATAACACAGGCACACAGTGTAGTAGAATGTTAACAGACATAAAAAGGATAAATTAAACTCAATTGTGATTGAATAGTTATATATATATAGATATATGTTGCTATATGTTAATTCTTGCCTATATTATTATATAGGGATGATGTAAATGCCAGCCCTACTATCTTGTTTGCATTGTTTTTGAAGGATTGACTTTAGCCATCCCTACATTTGCTTTCTATTTTTAAAAGTTTTTTTTTTACCTGTTTGCTTGTTTTTTCTTCTTCTTTTTAACGCAGTGTTTCAATAGACATAGGAAGGTTTTATTTATAACCAAGTTGTAAATACAATGAGGTTCAAACTGTAATATTTATTGTTTATCTATTATTGGCTGATAATTCCGGTGTCCTTAAGCTTTTAAAAGAACACCCACTTTCTGTACAAAAGCAAAATTCAAGGGGTAATGATAACATCGTTTACATTAGTTAATACTACCTATAAAAACGAATACTCCGTTTGAAACTATGTCACCTCAGAGAAATTGGTTGACACCATTGTTTTGGTTTTTGAGTTATCATGTAATAAAAAAGCAGCAGAAGAAAGAAGAACAAGAAATTTAAACTTTTTGCTTTGATATTTACAGACATTACCAGAACTTGTGACTCAGTCATTACGTAGATATTGTTATAAAAGAAAACACTGTTTAGTATTGTAAAGTTCTGATGACCTATTGAGGAGATATTTAAAATACCATTTTGATGAACAATCTGAGCCATTCCTACATAGACAGAGCTACCACCTGCCTTATACATAAACTAATATTACCTATGATTGATCTACCACACTCTGTAACCCCTAATTTCTTACTTAACACATTCATTTATTATTTTCCTGGTTAATATTTATCTCTTGACATTTTATGAATTTTAGTACTTTACGTATTAAATAAACTAGCGATACCCGTGGTGGGCAGAACATAGATAGCCCATTGTGTAGCTTTGTGCTTAATTATAAACAAACAAAAAATAAACTAGCACTATAAGTTAACTTCAAAGGCAAAAATAAAACAACAACAAAAAAGCAGAAAAAGATCATACATTACTTCTAAACAGTTCTAACTGATTAAAAATTGTCATTGTATGCTTTTCAATAGAAGTATAATTGAAACAACAAAGACAATGAACCTACTTGAACATTGAAGCTCTCCTTCAATAAACTAACAATAGGAAGGTTGGATGAGGAATGTTGGAAGAAGAAGGTTAAAAGAGGAAGGTTGGAAGAAGAAGAAGGTTGAAAGAAGAAGGTTAGATGAGGAAAGTTGAAAGAAGAAGGTTAGATGAGGAAAGTTGAAAGATGAAAATTGAAAGAAGGCTGAAAGAGGAAGATTGAAAGAAGACAATTGGAAAAAAAGGTTGAAAGAGAAAGGTTGGGAGAAGAATGTTGAAAGAGGAAGGTTGGAAGAAGAAGGTTGAAAGAGGAAGATTGAAAGAGGAAGATTGAAAGAATAAGATTGGAAGAAGAAGGTTAAAAGAGAAAGGTTTGGAGAGGAAGGTTAGAAGAAGAAGACAATTGGAAAAAGAAGGTTGAAAGAGAAAGGTTGGAAGAAGAAGGTTGGATGAGGAAGATTGAAAGAAGAAGGTTGGATGAGGGAGGTTGAAAGATGAAGGTTGGAAGAAGAAGGTTGGAAGAAGAAGGAAGGTTGAAATAGGAAGGTTGGAAGAAGAAGACAGGTTGAAATAGGAAGATTGGAAGAAGAAGATTGGATGAGGAAGATTGAAATAGGAAGGTTGGAAGAAGAAGGTTGGATGAGGCAGGTTGACAGAGGAAGGTTGAAAGAAGGTTGGATGAGGAATGTTGGAAGAAGAAAGTTGGATGAGGAAGGTTGAAAAAAAAAGATTGGAAAAGGAAGGCTGAAAGAGATAGGTTGGATTTGTAGCTACCCATGAGCACTTGTGAAAGACTGTGAATTGTGACTTTCACATGGCAGCCAGAAGGGGTTGGAGTTCGTTGAGCCCACTTTGGATTCATACTGAACCTATTTCTGTTTTTCAGTAGGAACTGAACGAGAATGGTGAGCCATGGTGATGAGTTGGTTAGGATAGTTTGTGCTACAGAATATATGCATATGTGTATATACTGGAAAAATAGAGAACGAGAAGTAGGGGAATAAAGTAATAACTGGATGAAAAAATAAATAAATGAGAAAATAGAAAAGGAAGGAGGAGTTATAATCAAAGAAAAAACTATATCTAAATATTTTATAATGGCCCGCATGTTGTTCTGAGTTGATTTAGCTCAATTATATGCACTAATTTACCACATGATTAGATATAGATTTAATTACGCTGTTACTAACTGCTAGTTATATATATATTACCACATGATTAGATATAGATTTACTTACGCTGCTACTAACTACTAGTTATATACATATTACCACATGATTAGATATAGATTTACTTACGCTGTTACTAACTGCTAGTTATATATATATTACTACATGATTAGATATAGATTTAATTACGCTGTTACTAACCGCTAGTTATACATATTACCACATGATTAGATATAGATTTACTTACGCTGTTACTAACTGCTAGTTATATATATTACCACATGATTAGATATAGATTTACTTACGCTGCTACTAACTGCTAGTTATATATATATATTACCACATGATTAGATATAGATTTACTTACGCTGTTACTAACTCCTAGTTATATATATTACCACATGATTAGATATAGATTTACTTACGCTGTTACTAACTCCTAGTTATATATATTACCACATGAT